GGTTTTGGTCACTTCACATGACCCTGGGACACTGTGACCGTCATAAATATGAATCAGTTGCCAAGCATCTGAATGTAAATCACAAGACCCTGGAGATGCTGCAACATTCCAGCTGATCGGCGCTTCTTCTGGGCTCAGCAGAAGCACCAGGATCAGCGCCGAGCTCCAGCTGGAGCCTGGTGCTGATCCTGGCGCTTCCACTGAGCCCTGACAGCCCTGCAGCTCCAGCCATCTCTCACTCAGGGTTGTGTGGTGCTGCCACCGGTTCAGCTCATGCCCCTCCCCCGCTACCACTTTTCTAGGATGCTCGCGTACCACCTGCCAGGTGCCAATGTACCACAGGTGGTACCCGTACCACTGGTTGAAAAGCCCTGGTTTAGAATCTGCAGTTGTTCCAATTGTACAGGTAGTCCTCGACTTATGACAATTGGGACCAGAATTTCTGTCACTAAGCAGTGTAGTTAAGTTGCACATGATTTTATGAGCTTTTTTGCCATGGTGGTTAAGCAAATCACTGCAGTCATTAAGTGAATCCAGATTCCCCTATTGAATTTGTTTGTCAGAAGCCCCCTGGGAGGATCGTAAATGGTGATCAGGTAATCCCAGGACGCTGCAACTATTGTAAATGCATGACAGTTGCCAAGCACCCAAATTTTGATCACATAACCACAAAGGACACTGCAACAGTCATAAGTCAATTTTTTCAGCACCTTCATAACTTTAGATCAGGGGTGTCAAGCTGTCATCCAGAAGCCACGCCCACCCCATTGCCAGCAATGGCAAAACCGTCCCGATATGTTGCGTGACGTTGCGAGTTTGACATGTCTGCTTTATATGGTCATTACACAAATGGTCATACGTAAGTTGAGGACTACCTGTATAAAGTTACAGGTAAAACATTGGCACTAAGACAAAAATGTTTGGTGATAGACCTATTGTTTGATTTCTTATTAATTTATCAAATAATGGAATCGGGAGATGTGAGTCACCAAAGAGGATGGGGAGGTTACATCAGGTCAGGGTCATTGGAAGGTGAACTGCTGGGGGGGGGGGAGAGACCGAGAGCAGTTCACCATCCAATGACCCTGACCTGATGTAATCTCCCCATCCCAAGACCCATCACCAGCCTCTCACTGATGACTCATACCTGACCCACTGATAATTCACACCTTCCAACTACCCTGACCTGAAGTAACCTCCCCATCACAAGACCTATCACAAGCCTCTCTCTGATGACTCACACCTGACCCATCACAAGACCCTCACTTGACACACCCACACCTGAAACCCTTATAAACAGAATAGCACTGACACAGACATCCCCGAAATGCTGCTGAAGATGTTACCTAGCCTGGTAATGAAATGTTTGGAAACCAACCCACAAGCTTGGAGAATGAACCTTCACCCTCATCCTATACTCAAGCTATAGATATTTGCCACTATTGCAAATATTAAAGAAGGATGCAGAGGTTGGTGTCAACATTGGGAAATTAATTTCTTAGGTTGAAAACAGTAGCTTACCTAAATAGGAAGCTTCCTGAAATTGTCAACTTCTAAATTATTGACACTTAATATTTTTCAGGCTTTCTCTAGTTTGGCAGAAGCTGCTTATGAAGCTGCTGATGTGGCTGATGACCAAGAGCCTGCAACTTACTGCTTATCCTCATCCTTTGAATTAATTGTTCAGAAACTTTTAGAGACCACAGACAGGTAACTTAGTCATTCTTTATCTATTTGACTGCTGACCAATGAGCTTCAGGGTATTCCTTAAGAGTTTCATTTTATAAAATCTCCAGAATTTCTGAGGGCTAATGTGTAATATCACTAGGTTAGTTCTGTAGTGATTGAGATCTCTTACATGTACTATAATTCCATAGAATTCAACAAAAGCTACAGACGTGGCTTCCTGGATTTTGGCACAAGCCACATTGTTGCAAATATATTGTCAAATGAGTATGAATAATGTCTACTAAAACAGAATGGGAGAAAAAGTGTTCTGGAATTTACTTAGAAGATTTAACAAGAGAAGAAGCATAAATTATATAGGAGACAATGGGAAAAAATCATGCAAATTTATTTAACATGCATAATTTACTTAGGTTTCAGGATTATGATCCTCTTTCCATAGAATATGGAACTTGGACAGGATTTTGGGTTTTTTTTCCAGGTTCAGGCATACAGAGCAATAAGATATAAGCACTTTTAAAATTCTGTTCTTGTTCTCTGATTTCAAATGCTCAATCTTTTACCTGATATGGAGAAAGGCTAGCTGACTTTTGAATAAATTTTGTAGCAGAATGAAGCATGTGTCAACTCTGCAATGAACCTGGCTGAAGCCATCTTGCTCGTTTTTGGTTGCCACAAGATTGGGGGGAGGAATGGGAAGTTTTATACTAGCATAAACAATTCTCTGTCCCGTGGGAACCAAGGTCATTTCTGTTCCTTCGGCTGTGGGGGGGGGGGGTTGAACCTAATGTTAGAAAGCCCGTCAAACTATTCTATTGGGAAACATAGTTAATAATAATAATAATAATAATAATAATAATAATAATAATAATAATAATAATAATAATAAAGTTGGAAGGACCTACCTAGTGTCTTGTAAAGTGTTGGACTACTATGTTGGATGTGTGATTAGGCTTCCATATACTGATTAATTTGGATACTTTGGGATGCCGTAGGATAAAATACATCACTATGAAACAATAGGCACAAACCTGTTGTCTCATCCCCCAAAATTGGACATAAACTTTGGCTTTTTCCAAAGTTTCCTTGAATAAGGAGACCCCACCACCACCACACACACACACACACACTGGATCAGATTTAAAATATAGTTCAATATCCTCTGTTCCACAATGTCCAAATAAATGCCAACAAACAGGTGGTAAGTGCAATGTTTGGATGAGACTTCCAGATTTTGAAGGATGACTTTTCTTTACTAGCATGTTAATTTCTATTGGAGTGATACGAGAGAAAAAACATTGTATTCTGAACTTGGAGCTAAATAGCCCACTCAGTACGTTGTGTTAGAACATTTTGTGTGATTTGTACTCCAATGGAACCTAACCAAAATAATTTTGACTATTCTATCATGTGAATAGGTCTGATAGGTCTGTTATTTCCTGGATCCATTTTTTTCCTTTTTTGAAGATGGGAACTACATCAGCTCTTTTCCAGTCCTCTGGTAGTTCCCCAGTGCTCCAGGATCTTTGAAAAATATAGTTCAGTGGTTCTGAGATCACATCTGCCAGTTCCTTGGGAACCTTGGGGTGTAATCCATCTGGTCCTGGTGATTTGAACTTGTCTAGGCTGGACAGGTGCTCACTTATCATTTTCTTGCCTATCTTAACTTGTGTTTCTATTCTGTTTTTTATGGCACTATTTTTGATAGGTTGGTCTGTTTTTTCCCTTTGTGTAAAGACAGATGCAAAAAACTAGTTAAATAGTTCTGCTTTCTCCCTATTGCTAGTCATCTTCTTGCCACTTTCCCCCACTAATGGACCAATCATTTCCTTCACTTTTTTCTTGTTTTTTACATGTTGAAAGAAGCTTTTTTTGTTATTTTTGACTTTGGTTGCAAGCCTTAGTTCATTTTGAGCCTTAGCTTTCCTCACTTCATCTTTGCAGGCTCGGACTATTTGCTGATATTCTGCTTTAGTTATGTGCCCCTCTTTCCACTTTTTATACTTGTCCTTTTTATCTTTCAATTTATCAGAGAGTTCTTTATGCAGCCATGCTGGTTTCTTTTGAGAGCTGTTATTTTTCTTCTTTGTTGGTATTGTGCTAGACTGGGCTTTTGTTATCTCACTTTTCAAAATTTCCCAAGCTTCTTGAGTTGTTTTCCCCTTGAAGATTCTCATCCATGGAATGTTTATTGAAATTAGCTCTCTTAAAGTCCAAGACTCTAGTTTGACTGTGTTCTATTGCTTGTGCTTCCATAATGTTGAATTCCAATATTGCATAATCACTCCCCCCCCCCAAGGTTCCTTTGGCTTCAACACCTTCTATCATTTCGTCTCTGTTAGTGAGAATTAGATCCAAAATGGCTAATCCCCTAGTTCCCTTCTCTACTTTTTGGGAGACAAAGTTGTCTGCTAGGTTTGTCAGGAATCTGTTTGATCTTTCACTTGGTGCAGAGTTTGTCTCCCAGTTGATGTCAGGGTATTTTAAGTCCCCCATTACTATTGTGATGTGCTTCCTACATACCTTAGTTAGCTGACTAGCAAAAAGTTCATCTATTTCTTCTGTTTGGTTGGGTGGCCTATAGTATACACCTATGGCAATGTCATTTTCCCCCCTTTTATATTGACTGAAATGCATTCAGGACAGTTTTCATCATTGTTGTGCTGTATTTCTGTAGATATGTAGTTATTTCTTATATAGAGAGCAACTCCACCTCCTCTTTTATTTGGTCTGTTTCTTTTAAATAATTTAAATCCCTCTAGTTGTGTGTTCCATTTGTGGGTTTCATCCCACCATGTTTCCGTAATGGCAACAATATCATATCTGCCCTCATTAACCTGAATTTCTAGCTCACCCTGTTTGCTGTTCATACTCTGTGCATTGGTGTATAGACATTTGAGTCCTTTATGACTGACCCTGTGTTTACTTTCTACATAACCTGTGTGGTGCCTGAGTTCCCCTATTTTCTTAATGCACTTTGTGTGGCACACGCTATTAAAAGCTTGATTTTGCTTGATAGCAAGGTTGATACTCACTGTCCCCGCTGTTTAGTTTAAATATTCCTCCAGAAAAATCTGTGAATTTATTGCCGAGTAACTCAGTCCCTTTCTTTGATGGATGCAAACCATCTCTTTTCTACATTTTTTCATTGGACCAGCTACAGACATCGTGACTAATATAACCAAAGCCTTCCCCTTTACACCACTCCTTTAGCCACATATTGAATTCTGCTATACGCTGGCCTTCTCCATTTTGCTCCTTATACACTGGTAAAACCTCTGAAAAAGTAAGCCTACAGCCTATCCTGCAAAGTTCCTGCCCCAAGCTGTGGAAATCATTCTGCACAGAGAGTACATCTTTTTGGGACAGATCGTTAGTGCCAAGATGTACAATAGCCTCCACATCACAGTCCTTGCTGGCATTCTTGATTATTTTAGAAATACGCTTCTTATCCCTACTGGCAGTAGCACCTGGAAGACACCTGACCTCTTTCGAAACCTCTGTGTCCTTTCCTAAATTTACATCCCTTATAATTGAATCACCAACCAGAAGGTGGCTTCTCTTTTTGGTGCCTTTCTGTTCTTGCATGACTGATGTGTAATACCTGATTCGCACTTCTCCCTGTCGAAAACAAGTTCTTCATCTCGGACCACGATCCCCTGCTCATTTGAGTTATCATCACAAATAACTTTACCTGTCTCCTTAATGTCCCTGTTAAGGTCAGCAAGGGCACTGTATCTGTTGTGCAGGACACAGCGAAAGCTTTGTGTTTATGGTTCACAGCTCTCACCCCTGCCAGATCCCACGGTTGTCCACACTGCCCTTCTCCTGCAGGATCTTTGTGGTAGAGGGGGCTGATAGCGTGGAGGCTCGATAGAGTAGAAGGGCTGAACTGGACACCTAATTTCTGTCTGAAGAGCACAGATTACGGACCCTAGATAAATAATCTGTCCTTGTAGACTAGTGATTTGTTTAGAGATAGGACAGTTTCCAAGTTTGAAAAGGGTACTGCGAAAGACAGCTGCAAAACAAGTGTTGCACTGAACTAAGCCAGACATTCTAAGATACAAGGAATCTCAGATGCACTTGCCCTGAATGTACCGCCGCTGTTTTTGATTTTTAATTATATGATTCGCAAGCCATTAGGCGCGCGGTCCGCTACTTTCCTGCTCCACCTTCCTTCTTTTTAACATACAGTTTGTAGCACTTCCCAGCAAGCTCTGGGTAGTTTAAATGCAGTTTAAATGCAATGGAGGTCCAATCAGCAGGGCCTCAGCTACTTTCCTGGTCCACCCTCCTCCTTTTTAACTTACAGTTTGTAGCACTTCCCAGCAAGCTCTGGGCAGTTTAAATAGTTGATTGCATAGGCTATGGGGTGGGAAGTTTAACTTTGTAATACTGTTACTTTTTGGAGAGCACTTTAGTCTTGGTTTCACTTTTGACCATGCTGATACTTTGTAACCAATAAACATGTTCTTAGAGGAAAACTCAAGTCTCGGAGTTCTGGTTTAATTGGTCTCATCTATCGGAACCATGACAACATGGACCTACATAGTATTAAAATAATTCAGCATATTTTAAACACGTTTCACATATTCCTGGAATTATTTATCTCTTTATATGCCAATTTGAAATAGTATAATAACAAAGTTGGAAGGGACCTTGGAGGTCATCTAGTCCAACCTCCTGCTCAGGCAGGAAACCCTATACCATTTCAGACAAATGGCTGTCCAGTTTCTTCTTAAAAAATTCCAGTGTTGGAGCATTCACCGCTTCTGGAGGCAGCTTGTTCCACTGGTTAATTGTTCTAACTGTCAGGATGTTTCTCCTTAGTTCTAGGTTGCTTCTCTCCTCGATTAGTTTCCATCTGTTGCTTCTTGTCCTGCCTTCAGGCGCTTTGGAAAATAGCTTCACTCCCTCTTCTTTGTGGCAGCCCCTGAGATATTGGAACACTGCTATCATGTCCCCCCTCGTCCTTCTCTTCATTAAACTAGACATACCCAATTCCAGCAGCTGTTCCTTAT